GGAGGGGGCAAACTAGGGAACTAGTGGATGGAGGGGGAATTCAAGGGAACTAGTGGATCGAAGGGGCAATCTAGGGGACTAGTGGATGGAGGGGCAATCAAGGGGACTAGTGGATGGAAAGGGCAAACAGGACTGGGGAGTTGGAATATTCGGAGGGGTACAAACTTCACTCTTTAGTTTAAGATTTGCAAAGTGTGATAGCTCTAAGTTCTATGCAGGGGGCGGAAACGTCATGTTTGTGTGTCTGTAACGAAAGACTTTGCGTATGTGATAAGGAACTATATAGTTGTACCGTCGGTGTATACAAAACAAAAGAATCTCGGTATTTGTACAGCCTAGGAGAGTACATTTGTTTATTGCTAATTGTTTACTTCAAAATAAGTTTAATATATATGTAATATATTATTTATAAATATAAGTCAACACTATAAGCCAAATTTTCATGCAGAGAATATAATTTGATTAAAGTTTACAAAAAACTACTCGTTATTCAAGCTTAATCATTATTGACGACAAATTGTTCTGCTTTTTCCTTGACTGTAATCATGCTGTGTGTCTGTACCAAAAGAGTGTGCGTGTATAATAATGAACTCGTCTGAAAAACAGTGCGACTGCCAGATCAGCGCCATTTCCCTTCCTTTTATTCTTTTTCCCTGGTTCTAGGGGGAAGCATTACCTCCCCCCCCCCCCCCAGTATACGCCCTTGGGTAGAAAAAACAGAATTGGAGGGGGATATAGGTGCACCAGTGACTAGAGAGTTACAAACAGAAATGGAGCTGTGTGTGTAGGAAGGTTTCACCTGGGGAGGGGAGGGGGGAGTCAAAAAAGGAAGGGGAAGGGGGTATATGACGAGGGAAGAGGGGAACAAACTTTTTCTATATTTCAATTTTTTCTAATTTTCCATATTTTCTTAAGGTTCCTTTGGAAGTAGTTACAACACACCTCAAAGGTAAACCTCTTCATGCTTTTTAATCAATATTTTTTTGGCACTAATTTGATTTTTTTGATAATTCCGAATAAAATTTGTATTTTTTAGAGAAGAGGCTCCGCGAGTTCCACCATTTAGTTTCCTTAGTTCAGCAAATGCATCACATGCATCACATGCATCTTATGCAGACGAAATATACATTACATCGTCATCCCTAATTGCTATAGGTAATAATACAAAAAATTCTAAAAAGGTGAAACAACTAATTCTAAAAAGGGGAAACAACTAATTCTAAAAAGGGGAAACAACTAATTCTAAAAAGGGGAAACAACTAATTCTAAAAGGTGAAACAACTAATTCTAAAAAAATGAAGAACGTTAAGGAAACAAACAAAAATCTAAATTCTACAGAATTCTCATGAATATAATCTTTATGATAAATATTATTCATTTAATGAAAAGTATCTGTATCTATATGAATATTATTCCTATAATGAATATTATCCCAATAAATAAATATTATCCCTACATAAATAGATAGTATACCTATAATGAATATTATCCCTATATAATGAATATTATCCCTACATAAATGAATAGTATTCCTATAATGAATATTATCACTATATAAATCAATATTATCCCTATATAATGAATATTATCCTTATATAATGAATATTATCAATATAAATGAATATTATCCCTATATAAATTAATATTATCCCTATATAATGAATATTATCCCTATATAATGAATATCATCCTTATATAATGAATATTATCCCTATATAATGAATATTATCCCTATATGAATGAATATTATCCCTATATAAATTACTATTATCCCTATATAATAAATTTTATCTCAATAAATGAATAGTATCCCTATATAAATGAATAATATTATATGAATGAATATTATCCCTATATAAATGAATATTATCCCTATAAAATGAATATTATCCCTATATAATGAATATTATTATATGAATGAATGTTATCCTATATAATGAATATTATCTCTATAAATGAATATAATCCTTAAATAATGAATATTATCCCTATTTAATAAATATTATCTCTATATGAATGAATATTATCCCTGTATAATGAATATTACCCCTATATAAATGAATATTACCCATATATAAATGAATATTACCCCTATATAAATGAATATCATCCCTATATAAATGAATATTACCCCTATATAAATGAACATTATCCCTATATAAATGAATATTATCCCTTTATAATGAATATTATCCCTATATAATGAATATTATCCCTATATAATGAATATTATCACTATAAATAAATATTATCACTATAAATAAATATTATCACTATATAATGAATATTATCCCTATATAAATGAATATTATCCCTATAAATTAATATTATCTCTATATATATTAATATTAACCTTATATAATGAATATTATCCCTATAAATGAATAGTGTCCCTATATAAATGAATATTTTTATATGAATGAATGTTTTCCCTATAAAATGAATATTATCTCTATAAATGAATTAATATTATCCCTATATATTGAATATTATCTCTATATAGATGAAAATTATCCCTTTATAATGAATTTTATCCTTATATAATGAATATTATCCCTATATAATGAATATTATCCCTATATAATGAATATTATCACTATAAATGAATAGTGTCCCTATATAAATGAATATTATTATATGAATGAATATTATCCCTATATAAATGAATATTATTATATGAATGAATGTTATCCCTATATAATGAATATTATCTCTATAAATGAATTAATATTATCCCTATATATTACATATTATCTCTATATAAATGAATATTATCCCTATATAAATGAATATTATCCCTATATAAATGAATATTACCCCTATATAAATGAATATTATCCCTATATAAATGAATATTACCCCTATATAATGAATATTATCCCTATATAATGAATATTATCCCTATATAAATGAATATTATCCCTATATAAATGAATATTATCTCTATACAATAAATATTATCCCTATATAATGAATATTACCCCTATATAAATGAATATTATTCCTATAATGAATATTATTCCTATAATGAATATTATCCCTATATAAATGAATATTATCTCTATACAATGAATATTATCCCTATATAATGAATATTATCCTTATATAATGAATATTATCCCTATATAATGAATATTACCCCTATATAAATGAATATTATTCCTATAATGAATATTATCCCTATATAATGAATATTATCCCTATATAAGTGAATATTATCCCTATATAATGAATATTATCCCTATATAAATGAATATTATCCCTATATAAATGAATATTATCCCTATATAATTAATATTATCCCTATATAATGAATATTATCCCAATATAAATGAATATGTGTAGATGCCCCCCTAAGCAGCATTGGATCTGATTCTGGTATATATAATACTAGTACAGAAGGTTCTAACTACTCAGGTATTTATCTATTTTCTTTTCTTCGTCTAAATATCGTCCAAACGGCTGATTTTGTAGGACTTTAAATGATCCCGGAGAAGGTTTATGGCCGTTCGAAATAAAAAGGTTTTGCCTTCAAAATCCAGCAACGATAACAGAAAAATCTGCAAAAATTTTTTTTTGTTATTTTAAAAAATGCATGAACAAGCAAGATAACAAAAGACTAAAATTGTTAAAAAAAAGACCTTTGTACACTAAATCCTATCTACTTCTGTCACTTTTTATCCACCCTTTTCATTCAAGACTCGAGAGTTTCTTTCTCTTTTCTTTCTATCTATCTGGGTATCTGGGCGCACAAAATTGCAAATTACATTAAAATTGCAAATGTCAATTTTTTATCTTTAACAAACAACCGTGCCAAAAGGTTTATTTTAGTAAATATTTTATGAATTGCATTAATGGGCCGGGGGAGGAAAGGTAACTCAATCAAAATATTTTAAAAACTTTGACAACAATCTTTTAGACATTTAAATTCAATTAAATGTTTTTTTGCTCATTATTTTTTCTTATTTTAGTCTATTTTATTTCTGACGTAGTGGGAACTCAAATATAAGATTATTTTATTGTTAATCTCTCTAGAATAATCTTTAAATAGTTGATTTATGTATTTATACACCTTATTCGTGAGCAGGCATTTAATTTAATTAAACTGTAATACAATTCTTGAAATCCAACCGGATATACGCAATATTCAGTTTGTGCACTGCATATACACACCTAGATCTTTATCTTTTAGTTTATGTTAAACAGTTTTTAAATAAATAAGGGTGAAATATCAAATTACAAATCAAATATAAAATAATCTCTAACATTTAAGGAAAGGAAGTGTTTGCGAATAATAAAAGGGGGTTAGGCTGACTCCTAAACAAAGGAATTGAGTCTTTGCCACAAACTCTGCTTTTCTAAACCCTATATCTTTGGATTCCAATGTCGTAAACCTTAGATATTTCAAACTATGAATTTTGTTAGATCAAACAATGTAAGTTTGAAATATCAAAGATTTGCGACATTGGGTTCCAAAGATATAGGGATCATAAATTCAGAGTTTGTGGCAAAGACTCAATTCCTTTGTATTCGATCGCTACTAATGTTACTTCTATCTGCAAGGTCTATAAGGAGAAACATATTTTTTCTTTATTCAAAATACATTAAAATTACATTTAACATTTTAGGAATTCATACATTGTAATATTTAAAGAATCAGTTTAAATTTAAATGAATTATGAATCTTGGGTATTAATTGTTTTCACCTTGTGGACGTAACAGATAGAAGTAAAATTAGTAGCGATCGAATCCAAATTTTGATAGAGATTCCGCCTAATCGTTCACCCCTTTCATTTTCCGCCAACATCCCCTTTAAAGGGAGTGACCGGCAATGTATGGTAGTTGAACTGAGAATGTAGTATTGTAGAGTATTTTTTTAGGATTCATTTCAGACATATCAGACGTTTTTACGATGCATATTTGTTGAGCAGAGCGCAAATTCAATCTTTAAAATACTCATAGATTGTCCATTTTGGAGGGATGATTTTGAGAATCGGTTTTTTAAAAATTCGTCAGTAAACAAATAAGTTGTTTAGGAACAGATTGAAAAAATAAAAATTAAATCTTATCATCGAAAAATAACGAATCTTATTCAGTTATTAGTTTCTGTACCGATTCTCAAAATCATTTGCCAGAATGGACACTGAAAAAGGTTTTAAAAATTGAATTTAAAACGTCTGATAGGTCTTAAATGAATCCTAAAAATTTCAAAACTGCTTTCCCGGTTCAACTACCATACATTGCCGGTTACTTCCTTTAAGTGAATGAATCTGACTTTCTAAAGTTCAAAATGTACAAAATTTGTCTTTGAAAAAACTTGTGAAATATTAAAATGTTTAGTACCTTTAAATTGTAAATGCAAAATACGAAAGATAATAGTTTCTTAAAAACTTTGCTTTGTTTAAGAATAATGATCAGGCTTCAGGCTTTTTGTGTCCACATGGTGTCCCGGTGTCCCAACATAGGATTTTAGGATTTTAGGATCAAATCATATCACTCCGTCCTGGTGAAATATTGAGATTTTTATAGGACACACCCTGTACAACTGAAGACACCTTATACATGCTTAATAACTTTTTTCAGTTAAAGTTGTTCAGTAAATTTCTTTCCCTGACCTTTCTGCATGTATTACAAAGTTCACTAAAAAATTTTATTAATCTCCTTCCAAAACCGAGGTCTGTACATTCAAGAACGTCTAGTTACCTATTTTACTCTTTATTTGTGTTTTGAGAACAACAACTTGCACCAAACGGGCACGAAGGACCAAACAAAGAGGGTTACTGCCAAAGAGAATAGAATATATATTAGAGTGGAATTTACTAGAAAAACGTGTAAAACGGCCATTTTGTTGTACTGTTTCCATACTGCAGGTGCACTTTGTACATATTTGCGCTATATAATTTTTTGGGCCCTGGAACATCATTTTATAGAAAATCTAAAATTAATATTAAAAGAAACCCAAATTATGAAATTGGCTGGTTTCATAATTGACCAATTATCATTTCACATATGCCTTTCACTTAACAAACGATGATCCGTTATAACTATGAATAAAAGGATGTTCTTCAGCAGTCCAAAAACGTCACAGCAAAGTGTACGGAAACCCTATCGCCCCCTCCTTCTCTTCAATATATCCTTGGTCTAGGGAACATACTGTATACATGTACTCTACTGCATATAATTTGTGAACATTTACATGATTTGTACACTTTGAACTCCCTTTCAGGCTGTAAGGGGCTGACAAAATTCATACCGAGGAATTTTCTAAATTCCACTCTAATATATATTCTATTCTCTTTGGTTAATACTTGAGGATGATACAGGTTTCCATAAACCCTATCATGGACCAGGAAACAGGTTTCTATCAAAACAAATCTCCTTGTCCTGGCGAGATATCGATGTTTGATAAAGATTTAGGGTTAAGATGGAAGAGAAAGGAATAAAGATTTAGGGTTAAGATGGAAGAGAAAAGGATAAAGATTTAGGGTTAAGATGGAAGAGAAAAAGATTAAGATTTAGGGTTAAGATGGAAGAGAAAAGAATAAAGATTTAGGGTTAAGATGGAAGAGAAAAGGATAAAGATTTAGGGTTAAGATGGAAGAGAAAAAGATAAAGATTTAGGGTTAAGATGGAAGCGTAAAGCATAAAGATTTAGGGTTAAGATGGAAGAGAAAAGGATAAAGATTTAGGATTAAGATCGAAGAGAAAAGGATAAAGATTTAGGGTTAAGATGGAAGAGAAAAGGATAAAGATTTAGGGTTAAGATGGAAGAGAAAAGGATAAAGATTTAGGACTAAGATCGAGGAGAAAAGGATAAAGATTTAGGATTAAGATGGAAGAGAAAGGGATAATTCTCAATGGATAAGGATTAAGATGGAAGCATAAAGAATAAATGTTTAGAATAAAGATGGAAAAAAGAGGAATAATTCATAATGCATAAGGATTAAGGTGGAAGCGTAAAGAATAAAGATTTAGAATAAAGATGGAAGAAAGAGGAATACTTGATAATGGATAAGGATTTAGATGGAAGAGTAAAGAATAACGATTTAGAATAAAGATGGAAGAAAGAGGAATAATTCACAATGGATAAGGATTTAGATGGAAGAGTAAAGGATAAAGATTTAGGATTAAGATAGAAGAGAACAGGGTAATTGATACACAATTAAAATTAAGATGGCAAAGTACAGATTAAAGGATTGGGATGAAGATGGAAGAATAAAGGATTAAGATAAGGATGGATAAGCCAAAGTTTTTATCTAGAAATTTTACCCATTTGAACCAAAATGTCATAAAATTCCAAAATATTCAAGGTGCATCTCCGGGAACCAGCGATATCTCAGCAGGATAAGCAGATATGATTTAATGAAAAACTTTTCATGATGGCGTTAATGGATATCCTATTAAAAATTCAAATATCATTTGCCTTCTTTTTTTTCACTCTTTGCAGTCGTTTGGTGTAAGTTGTCCCGAGTTTAGGTTTCTCAAAACATTATTAAGAGTAAAATAGGTAACTAAACGTTCTTTTATGTACATACTTGAGTTTTGAAAGAACACTCATGAAAATCTATATTGAACAAGGTAATACATGCAGAAAAGTCTGAGAAAAAAATTAATTAAATAACTTTAAAAGAAAAAAGTTACTAAGCATGTAAAAGATGTCTCCAGTTGTGTCATATAAAAACCTGAATATCTCACCAGGACGGAGTGATATGATTTGATGGAAACTTGTTTCCAATCTCCCTCGTGCAGGAGAACTAGGAACAAGTTGAATTTGCTCCGCAATACCAAGTTAAACTTTTTGCTCTTAAGGAACGCTGTGTTTTTTTAGCATAAGCGTTTTGAAGAAAAAGGTATAAGAGAAATCTTCGTAAATTACAGATTGTTGATTTATAGACCAAACTGCGATTAAGTTCAAATATCGAAAAAATCCCCCCCTGGTTAGTCCGTTTAGAGTCAAACGGAGAAATTAATTTAATTTTCTCTGGTTGATTCTCGCACCATTATCATTTCACATTATTCCTTGCAGGGTTCTTAAATCTGAATTGGTTTGGAAAATGCAGATTTTAACTGAAACCAATTGATTTTTAAACTGGTTGAAAAGGAGTTGTTCGCTGGGTTTAAATGTTTGGACAGATTTATCTTTTTATCTAGTTATATGAGAACAAGATTTAGAAATTGAAAACTTTGATTTGTTGAGAAATATAGAAAATACATAATATTTAGCACTCACTCATTCTTTTAAACTTAGGATTGGTTGTTAAGGGTTCAGGAACCTATGATCTGAAGTTTAGAACAACTTATCCTGATCTTGATAATGTCAGGTACACTTAGAAGTTTAGACCCCTATATCCTGATCTTGATAATGTCAGGTACACTTAGATGTTTAACATAACAAGTAAGTTGCAAACCTCCAGTTCTAATATTTAAACATGACAAAACATTTTGAAACAAAATAATTTGAACCAAAAAGTTAATAAAAATTTTCAAATAAAAGATTTTTAGTATTTGTCCTTTTTAAGTGATAATTGATAATATTGTAAAATCACTATTTAGAACTTATATCTGGGAGGATGTATGTTTATGGATGGATGCAGAGAAGGAGATTACAGGTAGATACAATACAGGGATGCAAGGATACAGAGATACAGGTATACAGGGATACAGGGATACAGTGATACAGAGATTCAGGGATACAGGGTTACAGGGATACAATACAGAGATACAGGGATACAGGGATACAATACAGAGATACAGGGATACAGGGATACATGGATTCAATACACAGATACAGTGATAATAGGTAAAAAAAATACAGAGATACAGGTAGATACAATACAGAGATACAGGTAGATACAGAGATACAGGGATACATGGATTCAATACACAGATACAGGGATAATAGGTAGATACAATACAGAGATACAGGTAGATACAATACAGAAATACAGGGATATAGGGATAAAGGAACACAGGGATACAAGGATACAGGTAGAGATCAGGGATACATGGATTGTCCAGTGTGCATATATATAGATACAAAACTTGATGGAATGATTCAGCTTCACAAATCGCAGAAGAGATCAAAACTTCACTCTTGGATGCAAAATAAAAATATATATCTTTTAAGAAATTCAGTTATGTGATTAACATTATGATATTATTATAAATGTAAATATAATTTATATCGTTAAAGATTCATGGATACTATACAAGCTTAGATAAGATGACATGAAGCTCTGAACACATTTACTAAAAACATAAATATTATCCAAGTGGTAAGACAGGTTGCCAAATATTTTAGAGAATTCTGCATTCAACCTTACAGTTCATCCTAGGCTCATCCTAGTATTTCATGCTTACAGGTCATCCTAGCTCATCCTCGTACCTCTTTTCAGACAGTTCATCCTAGCTCATCCTAGTCCCTCATTCATACTCATCCATCCTAGCTCATCCTAGTCCCTCATTTTATACTCATTCATCCTAGCTCATCCTAGTCCCTCATTAATACTCATTCATCCTAGCTCATCCTAGTCCCTCATTCATACTCATTCATCCTAGCTCATCCTAGTCCCTCATTAATACTCATTCATCCTAGCTCATCCTAGTTCCTCATTAATACTCATTCATCCTAGCTCATCCTAGTCCCTCATTCATACTCATTCATCCTAGATCATCCTAGTCCTTCAATCATACTCATCCATCCTAGCTCATCCTAGTCCCTCATTAATACTCATCCATCCCAGCTCATCCTAGTCCCTCATTAATACTCATCCATCCTAGCTCATCCTAGTCCCTCATTCATACTCATTCATCCTAGCTCATCCTAGTCCCTCATTCATACTCATTCATCCTAGCTCATCCTAGTCCCTCGTTTCAGACAGTTCATCCAAGCTCATCCTAGTCCCTCATTCAGACGACAGTTCATCCTTGTCCATTTTATAATTATTTCTCAAATTCTTTCTTGTACCTTAATCTTATTAACAATATTTTTTTCGCGGGGTTTCATTTAAAATGATTGGTAATTATGGTCAGATGACTAATAGTCAGCCTTCAGGTACATTAATATAGATTTTAAACGTTATTTTTTCTTAATACCGGTTTTTAAGGGGGTGCACAAAAATTTTTTTTCGCAGCGCTTACGCGCGCCAAAAGTGCACCCCCCTATTCGCGCCTGCCTGCTCCCTCCCCCCTTCCCATTATTAAACCACCTGACCAATGTTAATGTTAAATACAGATAAAACTGCACTTTTAGATGATATTCAAGAAGAATCTAAATTGATAAATTTTCAGAAAAAAAAAATTTAAAATAATTTTGAATTTCAGTAGGTTAGAATGAGTTTAGTAAGCTAGAAAGAGTTGAGTAATATAGAAAAAGTCGAGTCTAAAACAAAAAGTTGAGTAGGATCAAAAGAGTTGAGTAGGATAGAAAGAGTTGGGCAGGATAGAAAGACTTGAGTAGGATAGAAAGAGTTGAGTAGGATAGAAGTAGTTGAGTAGGATAGAAAGAGTTAAGTAGGATAGAAAGAGTTGAGTAGGATAGAAAGAGTTGAGTAGGATAGAAAGAGTTGAGTAGGATAGAAAGAGTTGAGTAGGTTAGAATGAGATGAGTATGATAGAAAGAGTTGAGTAGGATAAAAAGAATTGAGTAGGATAGAAAGAGTTGAGTAGGATAGAAAGACCAAGCTTGCGGTAAGCAGTGGAGCATATGATTAATTTAAGAAAATCGATTGCACCCTGCTGATATATAATCTTGACCTAGGGCAAAGGATCAAATAAGATTTCATTTTTCCAAGCTACCCCCTCCCCTTCTATCTATCTATCTATATATCTATCTATCTATCTATATCTATCTATCTATCTATCTTTCTATCTATCTATCTGTATATTCTTGCTATTTTGAACGTGCTAGGGTCAAGTTCAAGTTGCATCATTTTTATGCAGATATCCATATAGATTGCATCCCAACATACACAGACATCACACACACACATTTTTAGACAACAAACATCCATTGAGACGTAACAAATTACCATGCAAACAACATGCAGACAACAAAAACACACACTCACAAACTCTGAAGAGATAACACAGACAACACAAGCTCAGAATTACGAAGAGATGGTAGACTCAGAGATAACACAGACAACACAAAAAAAAAGAGACTACACTGACATTACAAAGTCAGAGATAGCATAGGCAACATAAATTCAGAGATTGCACAGAAAATACAAACTTAGAGACTACACTGACATTACAAAGTCAGAGATAACATAGGCAACATAAATTCAGAGATCACGCAGACAATAAGAGATAACAAAGACAACATAAACACAGACAACATAAACTCAGAAATTTTACAGACAATCAAACTTAGAAATAATTGACAACTCAAATACACAGGCTGCACAAACTCAGAGACAATAAAAACTTAGAGATAACACAGAAAACTCAAACTAAGAGATAACTAAGATGACGCAAACAAACAAAAATGTTTTGTTTAGTTGAGGGTGAGGAGGAGGAGGAGGAGGAGGAGGAGGAGGAGGAGGTTTATCAGACAATCTACGATATTATCGGACAGAACGGAGTGGACTCAGGTTTATATTAGATACTGTGCAGTTTCAAATCCTTTATTCTATATTCTGTATATTGTTGATACAACTTTTTAGTAATAATAGTTTATATTATTCTTATTTCTCTAGTTGAATTTGTTGTACTAAAGATTTAAAAATTAAAACAAATTTATTATTCTTACATTAAATGGACTATAGCGTAATTTGAAGTGACCAGGGGGCGGAAACGTCATGTGTTTGTGTCTGTATCAAAAGAGTGTGTGTAAAGTTTACCGAACCGAAGGCGTGTACTGTAGGATATCGTTTACTGCAGGTATATATACAGTGCATACGAATCTCGGTATTTAGTCTAGGAGAGTACATTTGTTTATTGTTAATTGTTTACTTAAAAATAAGTTTAATATACATGTAGTTTATTATTTATATATTTAAGACAACACTATAAGCCAAATCTTCAAGCAAAGAATATAATTTGATTAAAGTTTACAATAAACTAATCGTTATTCAAGCTTAATTATAATTAACAACATTGTTCTGCAATTTCCTTGACTGTAGTCATGTTGTGTGTCTGTACCAAAAGAGTGTGTGTAAGGTTTACCGAACTTGTCTGCAAAGCAGTGCGACTGGCTTTCTCATGCCAGACCAACGCCATTTCCTTTCCCTTTATTCGTATTCCCTGGAACTGACCCTCCTTGCAAAGATATCAAAGACCGATTTGCAAAGGTTTTCTTAAAAGCTTTATCTGATCAAGTATGAATTAGAAATCCATCTTACGGTTTTAAACTGTTTATTTTCATTTGCAGTTTTTCTGCAAAAGTTACTTGAGACTGCGAGTTGCGCATTTTTTGCTTATAAGGAGTATTGGAGAAATTATATTGGAATTGACCACTTTGCGAGTCAGAAAAACGATGGTATCATCCATATTTTTCATCAGATTACTAGGTTTCAAGGCCTTGCCATTTTTTCATAGAGGGCCACTTTAAATTACGCTTAAAGTCCCTTTAAAGATTTTTGAAATTAAAATTACTTCTTATTATACTATCATTCTATATTTAATCAGATTTTGACGAAAATCAGCGACGAATCAAACCACTGACATCGATGGTTTCGGCGGCTGGTCGAAAAATAAAAAAGCTTCGTCGAAACTGGTCGATGAAGAAGAATGATTTTTCAAAAGGATTATCTAAAATTCGTCGGTCCAGTCAGTCCAGTATTTTCTACACAGAGGAGTCCAGTCAGTCCAGTAATTTCTACAGAGAGGAGTCCAGTCAGTCCAGTATTTTCTACAGAGAGGAGTCCAGCCAGTCCAGTAATTCCTATGGGGAGGAGTCCAGATGCCCCGCCTCTTTTAATTCGGGTAATCTTATCAGCTTGCTTTTAGAAAATATCATCAGTTTTTTTTTCAAAAAATTAAATGGGGTTAAGAAGAAAGAAAGAAATTTTGAAGATAACTTGTTCTAGTTCTAGATTTTTCCGGGAAAAGAATTTAGAATAAATCACTCCTTTACAGATTCGATATTTTCCTTTTATATCCGGGGTAGGCAGCAGAATCTCAGGGAGCTCCCGAAGAGAAAAAGATTTTATTCGTGCATTCTTTTTTTGGAAAACATTGAAGACAGTTTATTTTAAATTCTCTTCAGAAACATTAAATAGAGATTAAATATTAATCAAATCATTACGATTTATCGTATTATTTTAAATTTTTTGCTTTTTTTGGTATTGATTTTTAATTGTTTTTTTTTTAATTGGTTTCCTTAAAATCATTAATTATATTTTTTATTTCATAATTTATATTTAGTCAAAAATTTAATTCTGCTAATTATAATTATTATCCATCAGATATGAATGTGCCTGGTATTGGTGTACGGGCTGAGCTCACTGGTTCCGATAATACATCATTTCAGATTATCCTTACAGTAGATCTGGATAACACATATATGCAGGTTCAAAACTAGATAATCCTTACAGTAGATCTGGATAATACATATATGCAGGTTCAAAACTAGATAATCCTTACAGTAGATCTGGATAATACATATATGAAGGTTCAAAACTAGATAATCCTTACAGTAGATCTGGATAATACATATATGCAGGTTCAAAACTAGATAATCCTTACAGTAGATCTGGATAATAAATATATGCTGGTTCAAAACTAGATAATCCTTACAGTAGATCTGGATAATAAATATATATGCAGGTTCAAAACTAGATAATACATACAGTAGATCTGGATAATAAATATATGCTGGTTCAAAACTAGATAATCCTTATAGTAGATCTAAAACCTAAATTTAGAAAAATATAACAGAATATATCTGCTTGGGTTCTTTCCAACCCTAAATAGCAAAAAAAGTCTAAAAATTGTTGAACTTTATTTTGCTAACTATTATTTTTGAAGTAACCGTAACTGTAAGCATTGTTTTAATGATATGCTGGATTCCCAACTGTAACTTTTAAAGCAACAATGAGAAGAAACATACATCGTCCTTTTTCAGCTTATAAAGTCAAGAATTCTGTAAATTAAGTTCTTGGTCTCTATTGCATAGATTCCGCAATGATACCGTTGTGAATCAGGCATGTTTATCTGAAGAAGAATTTTACTTGAAAAAACATATACAGCCTCTTTAAGAATTTAGTTTACTTTTAATTAAGATCATCTGAATTTTTAAATTTCCAGATGACCAGTCGTCTTCCTGTTCCACCGCGAAGAAGAAAATCTCGCCGCTGTACTCAAGTTATCCGCCCCAATGTTCCTCCGCCCGCCCCTCCAGTCCCACCTCTTCCTCTCACACGCCCACCCATTCCTATAAAGCCCACACAGATAGGGTTAACAAAAACAATGGAGCCTGTCTATCAAGATTCCTTGATTACTCCAGACCGGTTTTCCAAACCTTATCCTGAGAAATTACCGAAACCCAAGATGTCAGCAATTCTCAACAAGGTTTCCTCTGCGCAGCTTGCCGCGGAATCATCTATAGAGGGATCTTATGCTTCAACGCTTCTTAATTCAGGAATAGTATTTAATTTTTAAGCAAACTTGACTTTTCACATGTATTCAATATTTATCATGTGTCCTTTAAATGTCTGATAGGATGAAAACCAATTAAATACCTTTAGAACCTTTATACCAGTTCTACGATGGATATGTGACAATGTCAGGCCCAGATAAAGGAATAACATATACATTATACAATAAATATACAAACAATAACAATCTATATTTTATCTTTGAAGTCAAGATTTGCCAAACCCCAAAACTATGTCTATATATATTTTAAATGAAAATGTATATGTAATTTCCAGAGCACACTTATGAAAGTGTTTATAACACCAAATCTTTGGATCAATCAATCAATCCGTCAATCAATCAATCTATCGATCAAATAAAACAAACAATAAGTAAACCTTTTAACCTAGCGATAAACGAGGTGATTAATCCTCAAATCAACCAAGAAACCAACTGTGATCAATCCTGTAGTCAACATTTAGAGTCTAAATTTAGTGAAACCGAAGATATAGAGGAAGCTAGTTTAGACAACCTTAAACCAGCTGGTTACAATTCCGAGGAGAGCTTAACCCGTAGTTCTGCTCTGGAGATGCTAACGCTGCATGGAAAGAGGACTCTTTGGTCTGAAATACCTGAGGTGAGAATTTGACAGAAAAATAAATTGAATAACTAAAATCCTCTGCTAAATAAATGTTGTTGTTGTTCCAATAAAAACTGAATTTTAGGTGAAAGAAAGTGGGGTTCTATTAAAAATGTCTTCGGAAGAAAGAAAATTGCAAGAAGCTAAATTTGAGGTAAAAAAATTAACATTTAAGAATCAAACCTTGAATATGTGTCATATGTATTTTAAAACTCTTCAAGAACAGCAAAAAAATGTTAATTATAAATTTATTTATCTATTTCAGATTCTCTCGTCTGAAGCAAGTTACCTAAAGTCCCTGAATATTCTAACCAGTCATTTTCTCACAAACCTCGCCAGTAAGTTCAATAACCTTTAACTATGTATATAAGGAAAGTCCGAAGATAATTAGGATTAAAGGGACCAAGGATGTAATGCAAGGAAAGTTATTTCAGAAGTGTACACATCTTTTGTACTGCAGTGTACTGTCTCTGGGCGGTAATGTAAACACAAGACGGATGTCGAAGCCTGACATGGGATCCATCTTTTACATAAAAAAATCAATGAAATATTCTGGTCATAGGAAACTATTATGTGAATTATCAAAATTATCAAAATTTAATGCTTTTAACCTCCTCGGATACTAAACAAACACTGATGCATCTATTATTGTTTACAAATTCCGCCCAAAGAGAACTGGTTTCAATGTGTACGCAGAGTATATACGACCGCAATTAACTTTCCTTGCACTATACCCTTGAAAGGGACTGTCTTTGTAATTTTAAGTGACTCTCCATTTACAGATTGATGAGCATCCTCGATCCTCTTGAAATCTCAATCTAATAACTTTAAAAAGGTGTTAAATTCTGTTAATTTTTTCATCGTTTCTGAACCAAAAAATGAAAAAAACCCACAGATGTTACATAATCAGGTTTTAAAAACAAAAATATGAATATTTAATTCATACTTGGATCATACATAGCTTATAAGGGTACCATTGTGCTTTGGACATGCTACTCTATCAATAGAGGGCGGGGCCCCCAGAAGTTTCATTTACATTTGTACACCACTGGTTGCTCGGATTCAGTTTAATTTAGAAATCCCTCTATGTTCATTTTATTTGATGAGTTTAAAATATATTTTCAAATGTGTCTATAATTGCTAAACAATTGTTATTAAGAGAGGCAAAATATTTGAAAAAATACGATTCATTTGCTATATCTTACAATTTGTATTAATGAGGATTAGTTTTGCAGAAACAAAAATCAAACAACATTTTCAGTTATTTTTTTTTTTAGCCAGCGCCACTGAGAGAGATATTGCCACGCTGTTCTCTCATGTCTATGATGTAAGACACTTAGATTTTTAGAAATATCATTTATTGTATATATGTAAAGTTAAATACTGTGATAGTTAAATATTGAGATAGTAAAATATTGAGATAGTTAAATATTGAGATAGTTAAATATTGAGATAGTTAAATATTGAGATAGTTAAATAGTGAGATAGTCAAATATTGAGATAGTTAAATATTGAGATAGTCAAATATTGAAATAGTTAAATATTGAGATAGTAAAATAATGAAATAGTTTAATAATGAGATAGTTAAATATTGAGATAGTTAAATATTGAGATAGTTAAATATTGAGATAGTTAATATTGAGATAGTTGAATATTGAGATAGTTAGATATTGAGATAGTTAGATAATGAGATAGCTTAATAATGAGATAGTTAAATATTGAGATAGTTAAATATTGAGATAGTTAAATATTGAGATAGTTAAATATTGAGAGAGTTAAATATTGAAATAGTTAAATATTTAGTAATATTAATCTTTTTTTAAGGTTCAAAATTGTTCTGGACAATTTTTGGCTGAACTAGACATAGCCTGGAGACAATCCTTCCTTCTTCCTGGAGTACTCAGGTTAGTATTACATTATTATAATTATTATTATTATTATTCTTATTATTATTATTTTTATTATTATTATTATTATTATTCTTATTGTTATTATTATTATTATTATTATTATTATTATTATTATTATTATTATT